AAAGGGGATATAGATAAAGTTCTTATAATATCCGAGCAGGATAGGACTCGGAGCAACGGATTTAAGTTGGATAAGTTTAGGTTTAGGAGGGAGATAGGAAGAAACTGGTTCACAAATAGGGTGGTGGACGAGTGGAACATGCTTAGCAACTTTGTAGTAAGTGCGGGAACTCTGGAAAGTTTCAAAAGGAGGCTGGATAGATTCATGGATGATAGAGAGTGGTAGTAACTCTCGACAGGAGCTGCCAAGCACAGGCCAACCGGCCTATTGCAGACTCCTTATTTTCTTATGTTCTTATGTTCTTATAGAATTTAGTCTCATTAAACATACCGAATGCGTTAATATGAATATGAGTAATGGTATGTAAAAATTGGACAATTTTGTAATTAAGAAGATTTGTAACCAGGTGAGAAGTTTGGGTCAGGTTCACGGCGCCTTAAGCTCGTTGAACAGGTTTCGTGCGAAATATAACAAAGTCTAGGTTTGCTTTTAGTATCCTGGTGGTCCAGCGGTTAGCGTTCCCCGGTCACAGTCATGGGCTCGTGGGTTCGAATCCTGACGGGTTGAGGCGTTGATTGTATATATATATATATAATATATATTATATTCTATATATATATATATATATATATATATATATATATATATGTGTAATATATATAATATATATTATATCTTATATATATATATATATGTAATGAGACAAAATCTCACATGACGAAGTAAGCTAGGAGTTTAAGTTGTAGAGTATTATAGCGAGAGGAAATGGTAGCGTGTCTCGAGGGTGTGATGTTTACACTGTATATAAACACAGGCACAGTACAAGTGTAGTATATAAAACACCAATGCGTGTTACAGCTTTATTTTACTAGTTCAATAGGGGGAATTAATGGGGGGGGGAGGGGGTTCGTACACAATTTATGATAGACTATGGTATTCTCATATGACCTAACCTCACAATTAGAATGGGCACTTCACTAAGTCGATCGTTGGGGAGGTTCGGGATCACCCCACTTCGACCGTCTACACAGCCAGCACTTACTGTTACACGTTGAGTTGACAGCACTCTGTCGATGGACCCGGCTGAGACTTCGTTACACTTAGTGGCGGACTTCTCTCGAGTGGGACCGGGGACGTAGTAGCTGGCCCTTCCTGGTTACAAGACACACTCTCCTCGGGGAGAGGAGCTCCAGCCCCTATATATTGGACGAGCCGGGGGGTGACCTCTCCTACTTAAGTGGGTGTGTCTTGACCGGGTTGTTGGGTTGGGTAACAGGGGTGCTGGCCGGTCAGCGGGCCCTTGATCTCCCTTGGGTCAGGTCTGGACAGGTGTTTGCCCAGGTGAGGTCATGTCGCAGGACAATAGTGCTTTGTAATTATTACCGCCCGGGTGGGTCTTGGCCAGGTGTGGTTTCCTTAACACGGTTATGTCGTATGGTTATGCAAGTACTTGGGCCGGGGTCAGGTCTTGACCTGCGGTGTGTCAACCTGTGGTGTTAGGGTACCATGCGGTCTGTACTGTACTTGCTGTTATGTGTAATGTAATTCTGGGCTGTAAGCTCTGGTCTGATATTCAATCATTACACCTCCCGCCAAGACCAAAGCTTCCATCACAGAAAACTGATGGCACACATAGACAGCAATATCAAGTGTAGTATCTAAGATAGTCCCTGAGACGAGTTTTGCAATCTCACAATCTGGCTTAGTTTGATCTGACAAAGCTCACTATACCTCCCGCCAAGATCAAAGCTTCCATGCCAAACAGTGGATGTTTACAGTGGATGACAAAGCGAGTGCACATCCTGCGAAAAATAGCTACTGAGGTGCAAAGTATACACCTCACATCTTACCATAGTCTGATAATATTTAAAAAATTTAAGCGGCTAACTAAATATACGGAAAAGGAAAGATGGATGTAGATATGAAGGGGAAAGAGAGCGCCTAGGCAGGTGCTTGTCGGAGAACGTCACATTAGGAAGTTAGATGAGGGTACACAGTCGGAGGTTTGAAAGGTTATGCAATTGTGTTGCTTGCCCTGGCTTATTTCTGCTTAGGTTCCCTAGTGTTAGTGTCTTCAAGCCTGGAACAAATTTACATTCTTGTTGCTTCAACTGTTAAACTCTTGCGCAGGGCAGCACATACAACAGATATAACAATAAGATACATGGCCGCTTAAAAAAAAGGGGGGGGGGGGAGTTGGGGAAAAATACAACTTGTGAACAATAAGAAATATTTGTACATACTAAAAAGGCAGCAGAAATTATTAGCAAGATACAATGGCAAAAACAAAAACTCGTCAGCATTCGTCGAGATCCCGGGTGGCGCGTGGTCCATCACCACTTCCACCAATCGGTGCCCGGCATCAGGGTGGACGATCGCAGTAGATACAGTGGTTGGAATTTCCTGTCCCGTCCGGCGGTCTGCCACGGTGTGTGTCGAGTGCCTCACTTCCTCCACTTGAACTTCTGTGTAGAGCGGCAGTTCCTGATGTATTCCAGATGGATTTTTCTAGTCCCATCTGAGTTTCCTCTGTAGAGTCTCATTTTCCGTCATGGTTCAGATGGATTTTTCTAATCCCATCTGGGTTTTCTCTGTAGAGTCTCATTTTCCGTCGTGGTCCAGATGGATTTTTCTGATCCCATCTGAGTTTCCGCCATTCCCGGCCAGGATCAAAGCCGGTCCACTGCTTGGGGAGTCATCGCTTTGGATGGCGTGTAGGGCAGGGTCCACGGACAAGAGTTCGCCCTCCGTACGTGAATGTCGGCGAGACCCCTGACCGTTCTGTCCCACACCCTCACAGTGGTGAATCCCTCCCTGGTTGGGCCCCCCAGGGTTTGCTTGTTTCTTCCTCCACTTGTAGTCAGGCCACTTCTGTTTCGTCCCCAATGGTGTGGTAAACACCGGCGAGGCAGATCCCGGGTGGGCCGAGGTCAGCCATTACTTGTCTGGTACCTGGTGGTTCCATTCCCGGAGTGGAAGTGAGTGGGACCAGTTGACAGGTCCTGGAACGTAGGGAGCTGTCGTCTGCATCGCCACTGGGACCTCTAGTTGTTTGTTGCCTGTTGCTTGCTGCTACTGAAGTTGCAGGTCGGGGTTTCGGGATTTTCTCCTGAGTTCCAAGGGGACGACCTGATTCCCTGCCTGGAGCTAGGTGCTGCGCTGGTCCTGCATGGCGTAGCTTGCTCAGGCTGATGGTACCCATAGATGTTGTCTGTCGGTATTGTGGGCTGTGAGACCGTAGCCTCAGTGCGTGTCTCGTCGTTCCGCAGGCGAGCGACTAGACGCAGCCCAGTGTCTTTAACCAGATCGAGGGCCAGCATTATGCAAGCCCGTTTCTGGAGCTTGGGGCTTGCGGTGTCGATGTGAAGGCGTCACCCATTCGCCGCGGGGTTGCCCGCTGCGTGTCCCGCTCGTGTCGGGCATCCATTATGAGTCAGGATGCGTTGGTCTCAGCTCATCTGGTAGAGGGTCAGCTGCAGTTGTGGTGGTGTCATCTCCGAATTTTGTGTGGGGTCAGGGAGACCTCGCCCAGGCCCGTGAAGAGCAAGGGCAGTGCTGACTCTGTAGCTTGGCAGAAGGACACGATCCCGGGGTGGAGAATCAACAATTAGAAGTGCCCCTAGCCTCGTTACTTTAATCTATGTTCTGTGACCTGGTGTTATATATATGAGCCCTAATCTGATCAGGTCTTACTGGTACAAGTGGGGCAGTAGCTTGGGGAGTTCTCTGATTATTACTTGGGGTGTGAGGCACCTGATTGTTCTGAGGAGGGTGGTCAGTTGCTGGTGGAGGGATAGGGTGTTGGAAAGGGAATGTTACTCCTAGAGGGGGCTGGTTGGTGAGGCCTGATTTGTTCAAGACGTCATCGTCGACAGTTGCCAGCTTCAATCTATTCACATGCACAGTTTCCTGACATCCCCCCTGGCAAAGCGGGGAAATAGTGAAGTTTACTTTGCTGGGTTGGGCGGTTATTCTATATGGGCCTTGCCATCTCTGTTGCAACTTAGAGGGGGTATCGGGGGAGGATGATTCGTTAGTTAGGAAGACCAGGGTACCTATGGTAATATTGGAAAGGGTGACCCTGAGGTTATAGTAGGTGGCATTGTGTAAGTGACCTTTCCTGTTTAGTTCCTGCACCCGAGTAAAGACCGTTTGTAACCTATTTTGCAAGATAGAAGGGTAGTCCTCGCCATAGGATAAGGGTGGGGGGTTGATTACACCAGCAGGAGGGTTTGGATCCCTACCAAAGTGAACGAAGTAAGGAGTGTTATGCAGGGTGGTATTAATTGCGGTGTTCATGGCCAGTTGTGCAAGAGGTAGCTGATCGTCCCAACCGCAGTATTGATTATTAACCAAAAACGACAAGTGATCTTTCAACGAGCGGTGGGAACGCTCAACCATGGCATTAGCCTGTGGGTGGTAACTAGTGGTTAGATTTGACCTAGCCAGCAGCAAGTTGATAACAACAAGGAAATAAGAAAACACGAAGTTCTCAAGCGCTTTCATGTAATTCACATCTTCGGGGGTGAGTACAGACTAAGGAGAAATACTTGACAAGGCTAATATATACAGAAGAGGAGAGTGAGAACAAGTCCATAGGGGACAGCAGGTGTCCACAATGTTCCGGTCATAAGGCAGTGACCCTCAAATTCCTATACAACTGTAAACCTGCAACGCTAATGTGGTATTTAAAATCTCATGCACTGTAAAACAAATGTTAATTAAGAACTCCCCCAACAATGCAGGCGGCTGCATTTACAAGGTTCCTTGCAAGGAATGTAATATGTTTTACTTAGGCAAGACAGGTAAAGATCTTGTAACTAGACTTAAACAACATAAATATAGTGTGTGTGTGTGAAGTTACATCACTCAAGTGATAGGCTTAAGGATAATTCATAATAAAAATATATTAGTATTTTCACAGAATCTGATCATAGATGGAGTGAATAGGCGGCAGTGAGAAGTGACATGGAGAAAGTTTATTCATTTATATGATGCAGGTGTGTGGAGAGCAACAGCAACACCCCGCCTGCAGATGAGTTGTTACTCCTTCATCCTCAACATTGTCCTGCTGCTCTGTCTCGCCTTCAGCTTCTACTTTACCAGTTGCAAACACTACAAATGTCGCCCCTCATCAATTACGTAAGTAATTTTACTAATTCCATTGCAAGTAGTAAATAACAATCTCCAAATATGTATTCTCCTGATCCTCAAGATGGATGGTACTATTGATGGTAAATAAAGATATAAAATAGGAGATGGATGACGGAGAAAATTGAACCGGCTGGTTAATTCAAAGTTAACCAGGTTGGTACAGTCTCTTTCAAGATTCTTCGAACACTCCTGGAGACAGCTGGCAACTCAAGGCCGTGTGTTTACTATACAACGTAGAAAAAATTATGAATGAATGTAAAAGTGATCTGTGATTGGTTACTTAGTTCCCCGTTGCTTAATTAATGGTTGGGCTTTGTTGTTTCGTATTATATTATACCTTTCTGCTGGTATATACTGTTAATTTGATTTTAAAATGGATAGAGCAATGTATGAGGTAGCCTGTTTATCATTAATTTATACTAATATTATCTTCAAACGTTTAATCCCTTTCGGGTAATTACTCCGGTTGTATGTAACCGATGCTAAACACACTTCTTTCTAAAGACGCTGATTTCATGCAACACAAACTGCTGTTTTAACTCGCTGTGGGATTAAACAGAATCATCGGTTCACTGCTATCTGTAGTAAGTGTGTGTGTGCCTTAGTCTGTGTGTGTAATGCTTGTCTGTAAAAACAGTTGTATATATGAGACAGTATTATGAAGTTTATTTAATGAAATAATTTATTTTACATTCCCTGTGAGGCATTAAAAATAGAAATCTATATATAATGTTTTATTTATTCATTTATTTATTTATGTTTCAATTATATGTCATGGGATGGATACTACACAGTTTCTACGAAATGAAAGACTTTCCAATGCGATCCAGTGGTGAACCAGTTTAAAAACTAGGTTTTTTTGCGGGCAAACAATCAATAATCAAAAGAAATTCATTGTGTTAGCCCCCCTTAGTTCTTATATAAATGTCAGGGCAGTACATTGGGTTTATATAATTATATCAACCCCTGTAACTTTCCACTGGTTATGAGGTGACATGGTCACATCACGGGTTGAGGAAATTCCTTGAGGAGCAGCCCTAAAGATGTTAGATCAGCATATAAAAGCCGGCTGCTTTGGGATTATCACTCACTCCCTCCCCCACACAAGGAGGACGTATTTAGAAGAGCTATTTGATATAGCCTCCGTCCTCATTTTAACACTCATAGCCACAGTGATTAAGTTACAGTGATATACACTTGGAACTGTATATAATATATTTCTTAATAAATACAGAACAGACAGTTGGGTTTCGCTACTAAAACCCTATATACTTTTACATGTCCCAGCCCCATTAACCTAGCAAGAATCAACGGTTAAAGGGTCAGTTCATCATTTGAAATATATAATAAGCTAAGTCTACTCAGATGACAATCGTAATGACAGTTGAAAGGTCTACAGCGATACAATACATATGCTACCGCATTAGCTACACCTTCAGTACGAGATTTCACTAATTAATGGAATATTTTTTATAATTAACAAAAACGGCAAGGGACCCCGTTGAATTCGACTTTCTTCACGACAGAGTGCGTATGTTTCCATGCAAGTGTGCGTGAGTGTTGGAGCATTATTGTAAGTTATGAAATAATTGTGAGGTAACGTTGTAACATAGTTTGGTATTTTGGCAAGGATTTTTTTCCCATTTCTTATAAATAAATGGAGGAAAAATATACACAAATACAATTATTACAGTAAACGTTTTCCAAGAATACATAAATATATTGTGAACGGCATGACATGAACTTATTAAATATGAGATTGAAATATGAAATATCAATTCCCTCGTCACAAGTGTCTTGAAGAGCCGGATCAGAGAGCTGTGATCGGACCATTTCATATAATAATGTATGAATTGTGTCGTTATGCAGTTGTTTCTTTGTCTCCGCCTCCCTCTCTGATTTTTTCCGTGGTAGATATAGTAATTATTTCACATGCAATATATTTGTCATATATGATACTGTACTCTTTCATAATATTTATAAGTATAATGCTAGGATTTGTTTGACTTAAATCATCCTGAATACATACTACATAAGTGAGGATATTAGAAGAGAATTGTTTTCTTTACATTTATTATACAATTTGACAGATATTTATGAAAATTTTATTTATTTCAGTTAACATGGAAAAAAAATAGTATCGATGTGCATTCAGTATGTGACGTTGATTACATAAGGAAATTATTTCTGGCACATTAAAATTTAGTCCAGCCACCTTCATTCTCGATTACTTGCTGCAGCCTGTTGGGAACGGAGGCGACGTGATTGTGTATCAGTTGCGGTTTCCGCCTCAGGACCTCCCACTCACGATGTATATGCTCCTGTAGCTGCACCCTGGTTCTCTCTTCAGCTGGCTCCCACACGTTCACAATATTGACCCAAACGTTCTCTACAGGGTTCATGTCACAACCTTTACTTGGCCAGTTTAAGACTTGCAAATTTCTTTGTTCTGCAAACCACCGCGTTGCAATCCGGGCGATATGAATAGGATACCTATCGTGCAGGAAAATTATGTTTTCGGGAACGGGAAAGCATATACACGCACCAAAGGAAGCATAACTTCTTCGAGTATTTCTAAATACTGTTCAGCTGTGAATCTTCCTTCTATGTCAGTCAGCTCTCAAACTCCGTGCACATATATCCATCTCCTAAACATTGCAAGTCACATGGCCACTCCTTGCTTCCTCATAAATATGCTGTCTTGCATACCGGGTGTTGTTCCTCCTCCAGCAATTCAGCATTTCGTGAGAGCTAGATGAGAAAGTTTTTTCGTCAGTGAATATTACTCTTCCCTAGAAATCTAGGCCTTCTTCAGCATACCGTCGAGCAAACTGCAACCTTCCCTAGCGATGTCGCTCATTTTATTTCTCCTTGGTGGCGGAAGATCTGTGGTGAATGCCTCCTTCGTGTAGTCTTTGCCTGATTGTTAAAGGGGAAATATTTAATTGGAGATCCTCTCTTATTGAAAATGAAGTTTTGAAGGAGTTGGCCTTTGCGAAATTCCGGATGGCAAATTAAATTGCTGAACCACATAAAAGTCCGCATAGAAGGGAGTACCACGTCTTGAAAATCTAAGTGGTAACGTCACCATTCCGTCAATACTCAGCTGCGTGCCAGATACTCCTTCGAGATCGGCGTCAGTAGGTCTCCATAGGAAATCACGGTGAGGGAATCTACAGTGTAACTCCTGATAGGATGCCAAGGCCAAAACATTTGCGCGTGCACCCGTATCAATATCCAGAGCCAATCTGATAGTATTCACTCTCACCGGTACGGACAACACTTCCACTTTACTTAGCGCCGCTACTAATGAGGCTGCTACAGAAGTGTTGTGGGAAGTAGGCACCAATGTACCTACCCTTCCTCGTTTTTTGACAGGTGCTGGTCTTCCCCCGACTTCTTGTCCTGGTAACGACGCGCTTTATGCTGCTGTGTTACCTGGGGTACACCAGAGTCCAAATTCCTGACCTTCATCACTAAGGCGCACTGTTAGAATTCATCAGCTAGGCCAGTATAAAGGAACGAAACTTACATTGTTACTGAAATGATCGTGGTCAGTATTTGTCAGGCCTGATTCTTCGTGGAAATACAAAATTTTTTTTCTCTCATCTGAGACTCAAAAAATGGTAACCGATCGGTATTATTATTGGGGTAGATATATGGATGGCAATGCGGTGGAAGCACCTCTCAAAATAACGAATCAGCACAAACAAAATTGATATAGTTATTTTTTGTATTTTCCGTGACCTGGACTGGTGTTAATGAGTTTAGGTTTAAAGAGACGCACAGATAATGATATAACTCTTGTCTTAATCATCCGCAACACCCTTACAGCACTAGGAAATTATTAATTACAAATGGCAATAGTTTATTTGGATTGATCCTCAACACATATTACATCACTAGACACCAATATTATCAATATAGGGAAGAATATCACTGATCCCAATGATAGCTCACACGACCCAATAATTACCCAAGACCCGGGCGTGTCCCATTATGCACTGTGCGTCACAAGACAATGGATGATGTGTCCTTCCTAGCTCAGGAATTGCTAAGTTCAGGGGTCGCGCCTCCATGAATCCACTTACCTCCCGTTAAAACACAACCTCCGACGGGTTGTTACCTCAGCATTCTCTCAATAAACATATTCATAAAATATTATAATGCTCTGAAACCTAATAAATTAATTAGCAAATGTCAATACGCCCCGATATCATCAGAGCCAAATCAGCATGCACATACATAAGACCCAAAATTATGTGGAACGAGGAACCACTCGTGACTTGTCAAGGGGGGCAATTCACCAACTGATTCTTTATACTTTACTCCTGAATTCATAAGTCATGAGAGGTTCCACCACCATACCCGTAACAGTGCACAACGACACTGCATGGCCATCTACCTAGAATACACCATTATAGCAAATACAAGTGGTCGTGGCCCCTTCGTGCCCGGACCGAGTCCAGTGGTACAGTTTACCGAGGCGTAAGTTCCAAAGCTCGTGCTTGGCGAGCGCTCAACCGCCGTCCGGCTGGCAACGTACAGCCACATCGTTTTCCAGATGGTCGTGGCTGATATAATCATGGTCGTGGTTGTTATAATCATGGTCGTGGTTGTTATAAACATAGTTGTTATAATCATGGTATTGGGTGTTATACTCATAGTCGTGGGTGTTATATTCATGGTCGTTGGTGTTAAAATCATAGTCGTGGTTGTTATAATCATAGTCGTGGTTTTTGTGATCATAGTCGTGCTTGTTATAATCATGGGCATGGTTGTTATAATCATGGTTGTGGTTGTTAATATCATGGTCGTGGTTGTTATAATCATGGTCGTGGTTGTTATAATCATAACCGTGGTTGATATAATCATGGTCGTGGTTGTTATAATCATAGTCGTGGTTGTTATAATCATGGTCGTGGTTGTTATAATCATATCCGCGGTTGTTATAATCATGGTCGTGGTTGTTATAATCATGGTCGTGG